GATTTTGGATTACTTATTACTATATTAAAAATTATTTTAAACTTTTTAGTTCGATGTGCTTTAAAAGCGTGTTTTTTAGTTTTTTTTAAATTATATTTATATTCACTTTTATTATTACCCTTACATCACTAGTTACCAGTAAATAACACAATAAGATAGTGTTTACTTCTGACCTTCTTTATATAACGTAGAATAACTTTTGATATCGTAGAAAATCGTAAAAAATAAACAATTTAACTAATTTTATAATGCTGTAAAAATGAAACAACTGAATTAAAAAAAGAGTGTTTGATATAATATTTTTATTTTTTTTTTACCATTACAGACCTTTTGGTTTTTTTCTGATATCATATAATCTGTCACTATTGGTGGTCGTGTTGTTGCTGTCTATGTAGACATAGAGAGAGCATTTGACATCATTGATTACTCATTGTTTATTAATAAATTTATAATAGTTGGATTTAGTGGTTCTATATAAAGTTGGCCTAATAGGAAGAAAGCATAAAAATTGATGAGACGTGTTATAGTGTCGCGTTACAATTATTGTAAACAATTATTACAATAAAAAACAGACAGTGCATCCGCTACTAGCGACTAATAATTTTACTGTAAAAATAATTACGAAATTAGAAAAGAATCTAACACTATTCAAACCCAAAGGTTGTCAGTCGACTCAAATAGGTAGCTTCAGTAGCGTATTTTCGAATTTTTCTGGGGGGTCCATATAGTTAACATTATACTTTCTTTATTATTGTAATCTAATATCTATGATAGTTCATAAAATTTACGTACCTAGACATATCTTTGAGGTGGTTTAATTAAATATAATTTTATTGACTCCCTTGTACATATAATATTATATTATATATTTCACTTGGAGGATTGTAATTTGGAATTTCCTTGCTTTTTTCGACGTTTCTTTATTATTCCGCTTACAAATTTCGTCAAGGGCATCTAGTACACACTCTAAAAGTTCTAAAAAATCACTAATTGAATGATATCATTCGATCCATATAGTTTCACAATTTCTTTTTAACGACTTTTTAGAAATACTATTTTCTGTATTTTCAATAACTTTTGACAGCACAGATTTTCTCTTTGGAAACACAAAAAAGTCTCTCAATTTTTCTACTGTCCCCATGAAATTGCGTATTTGAGAAACATTACAAGATACCGATACAGCAAGGTTTAAGGAATGTACAGAGCAATGTACGTATTCAGCTAAAGATGTTCTTTTTTTACATAAGCTTGTACTCCATTATACTTCCCGGCCATTGCTGCTGCACCATCATATCCTTGACCCCAGAGATATTGTGTATTTATACCAAAGGTTTTGAAATTGTCAAGTATAAGTCGTGATAAACTTTTTCCCGATTCATCAGTTGTTCGAACAAATCCTCATGTAATTCAAATGTTTTTAAATCAATATATCGAACGCAAATAGACACCTGTTCGATATCGGCTATATCTGCAGTTTCGTCGACCAGGACTGAAAAACATTTGGCTTTTTTTACTTGGCCGACTAATTCATCGAGTAAAATTGAATTGCATGAATCAATTATAGCATTTTGACTAATAGGACTTGTATATTTCATAGTACTGGAACTCTCAAGATGATGATGTGATGCATCACTGCGAGTTCTAAAGCGTAATAAATTACGAAAATTTTCATCGTTTATATTGGTGTTATGAACGGTTAATTTTCTAAATTCACGATGACCTCGTAGAGGTATATTTTGTTGACCACATAAAATAACTGTTTCAATAACAGGAGAAATGATTTTATAATGTATATTATTTTTCATATCTATGAAATTATCTGCATCTAAGACGGATGGTTTGTGGTTTGTGCATGTTTCTAATTGTGAAAAGGTTTCCTAACCAAAGCGCCTAGTGTTTGAGAATTTATTCCAGCTCCTGATTTAGCAAATGCTACATAAAACGTACTAAATACGCTGTTTAATTTGGCAGAATACGCTAACCACGGAAAAATATGCAACCATTTGTATTGAAATTTTAAATTTTTTTATCGTTTATCTTTACAGTATTTACAGTATTCACATTACATTACAGTATTTAGGGAATTCAAAAGTAGGTTCGGGCTTCCAAATTTTTTTTAGAACTTCTTTCTCTACATTCATTAACGAGCGGTTAAAATAAAGTCAAATATCAAATTTTTAAAATGAAGTTCATTTTTTGTATCGGTATTATCAGAAATTTTTTTCCGTTTGACATTTTCGACATTATTTGCACTAGGTGAAATTGATCGTGAAATTGCGGAAACGATAGAATTATGGTGGTCAAATTTTTCTTGGAGATCTGTATCATTGTTTTTTTTAAAATATTGTGTTAATGACGTTTGCTAAGACATTAAAAAAAAAAATTATTTTGTACTCAATCGTATATCTCTGGAAGCAAAATGAAATCAACAGAAAATATCATTAATTGGAACCAGTTATCTTATAATATTAGAACGCGACGTTCCGTTTATATTCGTACATAAAAAAGTAAGTGACGAGTGTATAAATATGTAGTGTGCGTTATGTTTGAAACGCATCCTATTGGTAATGAAACCCCAGTGACTAAAATAAACATGAGTTCAAAATTTCGATATAAAACGCACCATACAGTGTACGGGTACCTTGCCTTTATCGCACTTGATATTTATATTTAGCCATAACATAGAAACCGTCGTCACAACGGCAAGACTATGTAATATTATGCATAATAATTTTTATACGTATTACTTGACTATATTGCAGGAATAATAATCTGTTTTTTTTTGCTCTGGGGGGGTCCAATACCCTTGGACCCCCCTCAATTTACGACGCTGGCTGCATGAACAAAATAAATAACTAGTGTAATTACATTGAGGGAGTTCTAGTAGGAAAATTAGAATAATTAATTACGAAGATATTTAAGCAAGATAAACAATAAAAATAAAAGTAACAGTTAACACACTAAGCAATAATATTATCTTTCCAGTAATAAAATTTTTTTGTTATTACTATATCACAATGCATCCGCCACCAGATGACCTGAAGTTGGTGTCCTGCGTAGATTTCTCAATACGACCTGATAAGGCTACCCTAACGGGTTTTTCGCGATTTCACTATGTCCCCGGACCTCTGTTTCGTTATAAAAAATGAATTAGATCAACCCTTACAAGTAAGACGTACAATACTGAATACGTTCCCCAAAAGTCAACATTGTCCAATTTTAGTAGAAGTGGAAATAAAACTACCCAGGTTCAATAAACCAGATCTGCCTAGATGGAATCTGCGTAAAGTAAACTGGGATACCTACTCCAAATACATTGAGGACAACATCAAACGAATAGAACCAGTTCAAGAAAATTACACCAGATTCATTAAGCTCCTTAAGACGGCAGCATCGAGGTCCACCTAGAGGACACGTTCAAAATTATATTCTATGCTGGAACAAAGAGGTTCTTAGAGAATATGAGGAAAATGGAAATGAAATTTCGGCTAACAGACCAACAAATTTACTATATGAGGAGAGAAGAAAAAGGTGAATTAATTCTTTATAATTTAAGTTTTAAGCATGCAGGATCAGTTGTGCAAAAAAAATTTGGTATTGACTAGGATGTAAGACAAAGCATTAAGTGCGGAGGGTATAGAGTATATAAGTGTCTGTTGTGTTTTATAATAAAAAAAATTCCAATGAGGGTGAGAGCTAAGTTCTATAAAACTATAGTGAGATTAGATATAATGTACGATTTAAAGTGTTGGGTTGTTGACAAGAAAATAGAGTAGAGAATGAGTGTAGCAAAGAGGAGATTGTTTAGATGTATCAGTGGAGTGACTAGAGAAGATAGGAAAAGGAACGAACATGTAAAAATGAATAATAATGTAGCGTTAATCGATGGAATGATGGAATGATACAAAATAGGCTTAGATGGTTTGGTCATATTATGAAGAGAGAGGAATCGGAAGCATTAAGAATAGTTATATAAACTAATGTTGAAGGGAGAAGAGGTAGAGGAAGACCTAAAAAGATATAAAGGGATGTTATTGAATGCGATATGAGGACGGCTGATATGAGCGTAGATGATGTGGGAGATCGTGTTAAGTGAAAGTTTAGGATTAGGGTGGCCAACCCCAAGTAATTGGAATTAAGGGGAGGAAAAAGAAGAATACTTAATCGATTTAATTAATTCATTGTTGGAAGTGACGTAACTTTGCAATCACTTTCTTACATCGCTAAATACTTTAAAATTAAATAAAAGGTAAGTAAATTTACGTTAATCCAATTATTTAGAATTAACAGCCTAAGTACTAAACAATAGGGCAATAGATCTTTATACATATATTCACCATTTTTAAGATAATCACCTCAAGCCACAGCAAGAATAACTCAGTGCCGTGTTTATAGAGCTAATTAATGACATTAATAAACCTCAACAAAGTAAAAAACTTTTATACCATTTTTTATCTACTTGTCTTTATTAGTAAGTCTCTTTCTAATAATACTTTACATAAAAATGAAAATTAAAAAATAATAATCATTTTATAGGGATAATTATATTTAATAAATTTTAATAAATCATTATATTATTACATTATTATATTATTAAGTGTAAGAACTAATAATGACTCAACACTAATGATAAGCTATAAAACATTACATTTTTTAAAATTTTACAAAATAAGAATTATAGAAAATTTCTTTAAAATTATGCATATGACATCTAATAATTAAAAATAATAAAGTAATAATTTAATCAAACTTATTTTTTCAATTGATAAATAGTGTTTATTATGTAGTGAAGACTAGGTCGATAAATTTACATTAAATCAAATAAATATGTTGTGTAACATTTATTTTGATAGTGTTAAAGTTTTCTTAAACCTAGATTTTCATAACAAGATTTGTATACATCTTCACAAAAATTGTCAAAATAATTACATGCATTTAGAATAATTTGGAATGGCCATTCAATATTTGAATAAATTGATGTATTTTGTAGATTCTTAAAATTTTCTANAATGGCCATCCAATATTTGAATAAATTGATGTATTTTGTAGATTCTTAAAATTTTCTATATAAGACTCTTCATTTTTAAAAGGTTCATTTATATAACACTGGCCTTTTATTTGACTAATATCGCTTTGTAACTCAGATCTAAAGTCGTTAAAATAGTAGTTGAAATCGCTCTGTAACTGATTACTAAAGGTATAAAGATAATTTTCAAAAATTACTAGATGTTTTTCAACTATTTCTATTTTATTTTTATCATATAAAACGATAAAGTTTTCTTGTGAAAAATTATTGTTCTTTAATATACTGAGAAATCCTGTGATCCATTTTAAAATGTTTTGTAAACTCGATTCAGAATTCAAATGAACACTACATATTAAGGATTTATTTAAAGTAATTAAAGATTCATACAGTCCTTCAATCATTTTTTTGGATTCGCTGAATGAGCTAAATAATTTAATTAAACAATTATGATAGAAATCCAATGCATCTTTTTTGCATACAGTTAATATAGCAGATAGTATTGTATGATAGTTTTTAATTATTTCTGTATACCTACAGATTAATAATTGTAATACCTGTTCTTTTTTTATTCGAAAATTTATGTTATTAACTTCATCTTTTATTATACCATCTACATTTTGTAGTTTACCAAAATAAATTATGTTTAAGTGGTTCATTTCTTTCCAACCCGTTTCTTTACGAATAATATTGAGAGCTTCAATTCCGCCATTTTGATTTGTATCTGGATCTATTGGAGGTATGAATCTATTAAAAAAAAATTATGTTATATTAAAAACATATTGTTTCATTTTCATTCAATTAGTTGGTTATGAAAATATGGTTAAATTACTATTTACTGGTTAAAATATTAGGAAATAAAATAATAAATTCGCTAAAGATTTTTTATGATTTGATAAATTACAAAAATTATAATGTTTTTTTCATTATTTTCTTTTGAATAAATTTAGTTTTTAGTTATTATCGAGGTGGACATAATGCCCATGCACTCAGACCTGTTGGTCCATTGTGCGCACCTCATACCGAATTGTCTTTAATTAAATGCAAAATATTTTGCAGAGATGGGGGACGATTATCTCTAACCCTTCTTGCAGAAGTGCAGGGAAAATTTCGTTATAGCCTGCAGCTTTAAAACTGCCAAAGGCTTTTATTGCCCATCTTATTCCACTTGGGGTTATCACTTTCCTGGTTAGTCTCCAATCAGCACAGGTCACACGTTTGTCCTGTGCATCATGTTCCTGTTCTCTGTTGTTAATTGCAGAGCCAGGAAAATGTGTGTTCATCAAATGTGATAATGTTTCATTATCGTATTGGTCAACATTCCGTCTGGCAGTAGTATTGCCTCGACAGTTTTGTTTAGTCCATTCTATAGTGATTGCAGAAGTCTAGTTGCTATAGGGAGTTGTTGTATATCCCCACACAACTTCTTCCAGCTTTCTCTTTTGGACTTTTTCAATGCAGATTTGTAGTTCCTTTGGGCGTCCTTATAGGATTCCCAGTGTTGTTCCAAACCTGATTTCATTGCTTTATTTAAGAGCTTACGTGAACTCTTTCTTAATTTAGACAGGTTAGCATTCCACCAAGCTACACCCTGCCCTGTACCTTTCCTTTCTATTAAAGGACAGTTTTCTTTGTAAGCCGAGACAATGGAGTTCTGTAGCATACTTACAGCCCTTTCAGTACTCTGCCTCGACCCCAATCTAAACTATAGGTTATTCAGGTCACGAGAGAGATCTGCCCTGTAGTTGTCCCAGTTTGTTCTTTTCGGGTTCCTATAGTACTCCGTCTTAACTTTGTTAATTTCCAAAGTGAATCGTAAGTACCTATGATCAGAAAGAGAAGGTTCGGAGGACACTTTCCACCCTTTTATCTTTTGAACAAACTGTCAGATCAATGATTTCCTGCCTGTTCCTGATAACAAAAGTAGGTTCAGTACCTCTATTCAGAGTACTTAGGTCTGTAGTCAGCAATAGATCCATTATAACCTCTCCTCTTTGGTTGATGTTATTACTCCCCCAAATAGTGTGGTGAGCATTAGCATCCAAACCTAGGATTAGTTCTAATTTTTCATTTTTGCAATAATTAAAGAGCATAGTTAGGTCCCTACCTGGATCTGTGGCCTCATATGGTAGGTATCCTGAGGCTACTATAATATTTTTACCATCATTTAGTGTTACTTTAATAATAGTCAAGTCTGCACTTGATAGATTAAGTATCAGGCTGGTCTTAACTTTATTACTAACAAAAATGCAAGTTCTTGGTTTGTCTGCTTGTTTATGAAACAATTTAAAGTTCCTTAGATTTAGCACCTTAATCTGGTCACCATTTATCCATGGTTCCTGAATAAGTGCTATTTGTAAGGGTATTGTATGCCACTCAGTTAGGGTCCTTAGTAATACATTACTGGCTCCTTTACTGTGATGCAGGTTTATTTGGGAGAATTGAATTCTATTGTCAGCCATTCAGAAAAACTGATGTTGACGTTTGAGAAAGTACCGTACCTTAGGTTCGCTCTCCACATTTCCTTTTGGATCCGTGGAGAAGTTCCCCTCAGCTATGGCCCTTAATAAGGGTGTCGATTTCCTGGGTCCCTTTCCCTTGCGTAACACACTTCCTCCCTTCCATTTCGAAGCAGGAGTGAAGTGTGTCCGTTTGTTCCTTACCTGTGCTTTACCTCCTTTTCCGAGTGGCACTGGTGATTTCTCAGCCTTCCTCTTTCCAGATTTTTGAGGAGTGGATTTTTTCACATTCTTCCGGGCATGTGGCTGCTTGGCGACATAATCTGTGAAGCAAACTCTGCCCATTCCAAAATATGGACTGCGCTTCAGTTCCTCCAGTTTGACCATGCTGTTTTCGTCCACACTTAGGAACAAAGTTTGTCCTTTCGGGCCAACCTCTGTCACATGGTGGACTTTCTAGATAACCGTGTTCAGCCCTGGGTTCTATTTTGCCAAAATTTCCAAGATCTTCTTGGACTCTTTTGGCAGCCCTGATATATGAGTGACCATCCGTTTGTACTTAGTCGGGTTGTAGGCTTCCAAATGGAGTTCTGCACCGTCCCAAGGTTTTATCAGGTTGACATGGTCAGTAAGCTTTTTAAGAGAGTTCTCTTGGGCTGTACTAATCACAAGTGCTCTATCAGTGAGTCTGGTGTCTTCAAACCTTGGTACGTCGGTTCCATCAGTACCCGACAGTATCAAGTCTCCAACACAAGACTCGATGAGTAGCCCCTGCTTTGTGGTCAACTTGTTAGTGGGGTAGCCTGCGAGGACCAGAGCCACTTTTTTATCATCGGTTACCACGTCCCTGTAGGTCGGTACCCAATGAGTTTTCTTACATGGAGGTTCTTGACCCTTGTCCTCAGGTTTTTGAGCTTCGGTTCCCTTTGACTTTTTGAAGTCATGGGTTCCATTGTCTCCCTCCTTAGGTAGGTTCTTCTGTTCCTCCATGATTACTCGGCTCCTCTTCAGCTTGCGCCTCTGACTGCCGCTCAGTTTCTCAGGTCTAAGTTTTAGACCCTCGATTTTGTCAGCTACTGCTCCCAGTTGATCTTGCGATTCCTGGTCTACATTTGCTGACGTTGCTGTCTCTTTGCTAGTAGACGGTTCACCAAGTTTTCCGTTGTTGGCATTGAGACCTTCAAGTTCGGCGACTCTTCTGCGAAAAGTAACCAGTTCACGATCTTCCTCCGACAGGTTGTCCGTAGGATGCCTGATCGTCACAAGTTCGTTGTTTTGTGGGTTTTCTATGTTTTTATCCATATAGTTCCCACGAGAAGTCGAGAAATAAAGGTCCGTCATAGCAGAGCTTGATACTGTGATAAGGCTGTATACTCTATTGTGTGCCAGGTGCCATAGAGGATCCCAATGGTCACTTTACTTTTCGGTTAACTATCCTGTGACAAGTTAGCAACCCTTTCACTTGGTATGGCTGGGTTAGGGGGGCCTATTCGCTATTAGCAAGCAGGTAAGCCCTGGCCTACCGGTCCCAACTAACCAAAGTCATGATCGGCTAAGAGCAGTGGTACGTGTTGCCACCCCCACTGAAATAACTAGGGTCCGCAGGGTTGTTAGGTCCGTAATCCTTGCGGATTCCCCTGCGGGTTTATGCTATTTATTCTTTTGAATAAATAGCATAGATTAGTTTTTATGTTAAGTCTTTATTTATTAAAAAAAAATTGTTACGGGAGCACAGTGTACGGTCATCTGATGACAACAGAATGACAGATATCGGATCAGTTGACTGGTGGAGGTTATCACATACACAACTATCAATACTTTACATCTAATGCACATACCACTACCTGATAACATTGAAATAAAAAAAACACAGCATAGTGGGATCGTGGCAAAGTGGGGATGTGGCATAGTTAGGTCTAGTATAGATTTAATCTGACAGTGATTAAAATCACTATCATAATAAACACTTCGATGTAAATCTATAGATAATGTTTAATTCTAAGAAATTGGCGTATAATTACAAAAACAACATCAACTTTTTTCTTAATGATACCAATATTAGTAATTCTTAGATTCAAAAATATAATATAAAATTGTATATATAATATTATATAATTGTTATATTGAATTATTTTCAAATTATTATTGATATTGATTTTTAATATGTTAAAAGTAATAATTTTTAACCGTTTTTATTTCGTCCTTTAAAGTGAAAGTTTATATTAAAAAAAAATGAATTTTTACCATAACTTTTAGCTCAACTTGCAAGTTTGAAGTTGATATTGTTAAATAGAAAAAAAAATGAAATTGTTAAGATTAATATACATCCAGGAAATTTTATAATTACTATTTACAGTAAATTTATGAGAAAAGTTCGATTTTTTTTTTGCATTTTTATCGTAATAGATTACTTAAATAACAATCATATTAATCATTTCTACTTTTGACTTTTGGTGTTTAAAATGGTTCTACAATGAAAATATTCAGAACTTAATTAATTTTAATGATTTAAAACTAAAAGAACTAATAACAAAAAAGTTGTTGAAAAGATTTAAACCGTATTTTAAAATTTGATATTAATTTTAAAAATCCATCGTCAAATTAAGGTGAAATTAAAAATTAATTTTTTTTTAGATTTTTGTTTATATAGTAACATGTTACCATAAAATTTGGAATATTATAGACTGGTAGTAGCATACAAAAATAGAGTTAAAAAATTAATAAATTTCAAAGTAAAATTATTTACTTATTTAGTTGAACACTTTTATCATACCAAATCTAATTCGACAATAAATACTTTAAAAATATTAGAAATGAATGATTTTAATTGTTTGTATGGAAAAAGTTGATTAAGCTACTTTTTATTTGAATACGGGATTTTTTTTTCAATTTTTAGAAGAACCGTTGAATATTAACAGTTCTATTGTTTTAACAATTGTTGTACCAGAAATTTCGTTAGTTTTAACTGTAAATTCCTTGTATTATCTTAAAACATATTAAACTATTTATAATGAAATATAAAAATAGAAAATATATTTAAATTTAAGTATTCTTACTCCGCTGTTGTGGGATTGAGAAATTGCTCAAAGCCTAGATTATTGAACCAAATTTCTATATTTTCGTTATAAAATTTAGTAAGAAGTTCACTTTTTTTTGAAAGTGTAGCGTAAGATTTACTATACTTAGTTAATTTTGCAATATTTATTTTCAGTAAATCAGTATTTATAGAAGTATCCAAGATTTTATTTTGTGTAAAAATGTTTGTTTTAAAATTAAATGTTTTCAGAAATAATTTTAAAGTAAATGATTGAAAATTCTTCAATGTATTTTCAGAGATATTATATGGTAATCTTTTGAAATTATAAGAGTCCTTTTTATTTTTTTCTAAGACATATTGATACATGAAGTCCATTTCATCAATAATAGCATGCGGTACGGTGCTTTCAGAAAACAAAAATCTTATATCTATGTAACTAATAAACTTCACTGCATTATAGAAATTTTCAAACATGGTCTTGGAATTTTTCAATTGTTTTTCAAGAAATGTTACACAATCAATAAAATTTTCCAATAAATTTTCTTTTTTAAATTCATTACACTTATCGTTTATAATATTCATGTAATAGATGAATTCTTGTATTATTTCTAAGTACTTGAAATTGAGTACACTTATTGAATAATAATATTTTTGTGTGAAATCACATAGGTCAGTTTTAGGTTGGGGAGTTACCTCTGTACCAGTAGTATTATTTGAATCTTGTTTTTGATACGATATAATTTGTGAATAAATATAACTTATCACTCTTTCAATATAATTTTTATATTCCATATGATAACTTTTGCAATTAACTCCTTCATCTGGTTGCAACATGAAAACGGCAATGGTTATTAAAATAAACGAATAAAATTTCATTATAAAAAAAATACTAATGTGTAAAACTTAACGTTTGAAACTTAAGAAGATATTAGATCAATAAACGCAAATGTCTTTATTATAATTGTATATCATATTTATTTCTAGGAAAAGGTGTATTACGAAAATATCTTTTTTTTTATTGCAGTAAAAATATATTTCAATCAAATATCGTGATTATTTCTTTTCAAAAATTTTTATAGGATGTATAAATATATTATCATCTATAATATATTGATGAATTTTCTCTTTGAAATTCTGCATTCATAATATCAGTTAGAAGATCATTTTGTACTATATTATATTATTTCATATAACGATACCTAATTATCACTATTAAAAATAATTTAATATTAATAATATAAAAGTATTAGTTAAATTGAAAATAATTTTATAGCTTTATTTTCAATACTTTAAATAAATCAAGTTGAATTGTTGTTCTTTAATTTTGAAAAAAAATTTTACATACTGTAAATAATATTATTTGTTTTGTGTGTAAATTTATTATATTCATTTATGATAAAAACGTTTTCAATTGGATCAATATTGTAATTAAAAATGTGATCATCTAATAAATTTAACTAATTTATTTTTAGCAATTAAAATTAAATTAAAAAAACAATAAATTATCTTAACAATGTAATTGTTGCGGCAAGTTATGTGATTATGTTCAATTTGCGGCCCGAATGGAACCGGTTACATATATTAAGTGGGGATGCCGTTCGCTGTCCGGTAAGTCGTCGCCTTATCTAGTTAGTCAACCATTGCATGGTCTAGTGATTAGACCCATCGGCGCCGCCACGAGTTTTTCCGCGACTTGCGGTATTGTAATGTAAAGGTGAATTCCGTGGATTTACCGGGCGCGTGATCATTATAGTTTATTCGTGTTTTGTCTCATTCAAGCGATTGAAGTTGGTTAAATATAACAGTATAATCCAATCCTTGATATCAGCCCAGGTCAGATTACTGTATTCTATAGCGCTTAAAATTTATATTTGTACTTATTTTTATTAAACTGTATTGTTTATTTGTCATTATGAATGTAAGTGGGGACGCCCACCCATAAAGTTTATTATTAATTAAACCAACATTATTATTATAGACAAATTCCTTTCGAGTTTCTTATTTAATAATTTATTGGGGTTTCCTTGAATTCATATCCTAAGTCAATCAGGCCAACCGAGATTTAGGAGCCTGTAGACGAACAGTAATACATTATATAAAAAAAATTAAATATTTTAACGTTATTAAGGCTCTTATTTGTGCAGTTTGTCTGAAAATCTTTTTAAAACTACTTATATTTTAAATGTCATAGTAGTATACATAAAATAAAAAAATATTTAAAAACTAAAATATTTTACATTTTTTCACCTTAGAAAAAAAAATTAACTCAATAATTAATTTTTAATTATTAAAAATGCAAGGTATTGTTAATCTTGAGTACGTTCAATTAGTCATGGGAGATATTGAACTATTCCATCACACACAATCTATTTGTATAGTTTTCAAAACTTTTCGGTTGCGTAAAGAAATATTCCATAGTTAAAAATGTTCGAAAATGACAATTAATAAAAACGATAGCAAATTGGGATCGCGGCACAATGGAGACTTGGCATAGTTGGGTCGATATAAATTTAATCTAATATTGATTAAAATCACTATCATTAGAAACGCTTCGATGCAAATCTGTAGATAATATTCAATTTTAACAAATTAATGGATTATACCAGAAGCTACATGATCTCCTATTTCCTTATTTATATTCTGATAAGTAGTTCTTTGATTTAAAAATATAATATATGAATAAATACTAATCCTTATTATTAAATATAGTATGAAAATGATATTCAATAATTTAATATTATATAGAAATTATAAAAATAATAAAGTAGTTTTATATTGCTTCACTTATACGTGTATAAAAATGTAAAGGACTTGATGCAGTATTTTAAATAAAAACTGTTTGTAAAAACTATAAATAAATGCACTGGACAGACCAGAACTTCATCAGAATCAAAAATATACTTTTCTAAATCAACTTTTCGCTCTGTTTTCAAATCTGAAATTAGACTTTTTCAATCACTGCAATATTTTATTTTTTTTATTATTGTTTTTTTACCAGATAGTGCATTTTTTAGAATTAAAAACATGAAAAAACAGCCTATGTTCTAGAGCCTATAACTTCACATCCAAATAAGCTATCATTGTGGAACTAGCACTGTTTTACTCATATTAAATAGTACTTCAATTTCATTCTTAAGTTTATGAATTTTGAATTTTTTTGAACATCGAAATTTTGATTTAAATTTTTTTAATTTTGCAGTATTTTAATAGCAAAATTTGAAGGTCAAAAAATTTTTTAATCACAATTTTTTTTTCTTTTTAGAAACTTTTAGTTATGTTCTTTTAACCCATATCATATTTGAATCGGTTTATAATTTTTTTTGTATCGTTTTACGGTCTTGAACACGCGTGGTTTGCTGAAAATAGCCAACTTTATCATCTCATTACACAAAAGTGACTGAACGAATTTTTTTCAAATTTACATAGTACTTACCTTTAGGCAATTAAAACGTCTGGTGAAAATTTGATGATGGAGAAATAATTTTAACGCCACTTATAGAACTTACAAAATTTACAATTTGCGTATTATGGAAAATCCACAAACTACGTAATTTTCAACATTTAATTTTTATTTTTTGCATTTATTCTGCACGAAAATAAAATACTACATACCTTTGTAAGCAACTATTTTTAAAGTCGTAATTTTATCAAATATTTTGTATTTTAGATAATTTTATTATTCTAAAAGTATAACAAAATGTGTTATATTTTTGAGTGTAATAGAGAATAATTTTTATTCTAAAATATAATTTAATTCTATTTATACTATTTTTAAAATTACTGTTCTTGTTTAGTACTAAGGAAAGTATAATGTCGATGGGTTGTCTTTATTATACATAGGGTATTAATTTTATCATATTACTTATAGTGACTTTTGTATCAATTTCTTCATGTAATATGACAATGTTAAATAGCATTTAAAACTGGTTATCTATTTTTATTAAATATAACAGGATTGTCCATATAAAATGACAATTGTGTGTCACCGAGCAGTCAAGTCAATGTGTAACTTTTATTGTTGTGACTAGTAAATTGTGTGTTAATAAAATCGATTTTAACTATTGTTTTTGATTATAATTAGTTTAAATTTATTATTATGGAATGCTCAGTCGGTATAGCAGTGAACGAAGAGTGTCACAAATCGGTTTACGGTGTTAATAATCAATTATTATTAAATATTTTTGATTTTTCTAATGAAAACCAACAACTCCTTGCTTATAGAATAAACTGTTCTTTAACTACAATTTGTGAGTATCACAGTAAAAAATATTTAGATTATTTTTATTTTGTGTTCGGTAGAAAATGTTCTGATCCATTTAATATACATAAAATAACTGTCCGCAAAGGTCTAATTGAAATAAAACTACAAACCGTTCTTGAATATTCAAATTTGGAATTAATACCTGGAAAGGCCTTATGTAAAACATGTTTAAAACGTTTGAAAGATTCTGCTGATTACTTGAATATGAGTGTTGAGCATGAAGAACCCGTGTATGAGTCTATAGAAAATAATTTAGAAACAATAAATAACGCTTGTAACAATTTAGGTATATCACCTGTTGCATTAAAAAATTTAAGTAAAACTCGCCGACCAGTTATTATTGAAAAAAAAGCTGAAGCTATAAGTACTGTAGTAAAAAAAAACTTTTCGCGGCTTATGAAATTCCTTCATCTTCTTCTAATAGCACACATTTTATTTCTAACGGTAATTATGTCGTTAAAGAGTATGAAAGTTTAATAAATAACTTAAAAATAAAATTTAATGAAACCAATGAAACTAGCCAACACATAAGAATTTTAAGTCTGTTGCCTAAATCTTGGTCAGTTTCAAAAATTTGTGAAGAGTTTGGTGCCACAGAATACTTTGTGAAAAAGGTAAAAAAATTAGTCGATGTTCATGGTGTTTTACCTGACATTGTCGTTCAAAAACCTGGTCGAGTAATTGATTCAAATGTATTCATTTGAATCAATTCAAAATTCAAAAAATTTTGTAAATTATAAGAACAAAATAATTAGGTATAATATAAACAAAAATAAAACTTATATGTATGTATAAATAGAATTAAATTATATTTTAGAATAAATTAAAATGAAATATATAATAAAAATTATTCTCTATTACACTCAAAAATATAACACATTTTATTATACTTTTAGAATAATAAAATTATCTAAAATACAAAATATTTGATAAAATTACGACTTTAAAAATAGTTGCTTACAAAGGTATGTAGTATTTTATTTTCGTGCAGAATAAATGCAAAAAATAAAAATTAAATGTTGAAAATTACGTAGTTTGTGGATTTTCCATAATACGCAAATTGTAAATTTTGTAAGTTCTATAAGTGGCGTTAAAATTATTTCTCCATCATCAAATTTTCACCAGACGTTTTAATTGCCTAAAGGTAAGTACTATGTAAATTTGAAAAAAATTCGTTCAGTCACTTTTGTGTAATGAGATGATAAAGTTTGCTATTTTCAGCAAACCACGCGTGTTCAAGACCGTAAAACGATACAAAAAAAATTATAAACCGATTCAAATATGATATGGGTTAAAAGAACATAACTAAAAGTTTCTAAAAAGAAAAAAAAATTGTGATTAAAAAATTTTTTGACCTTCAAATTTTGCTATTAAAATACTGCAAAATTAAAAAAATTTAAATCAAAATTTCGATGTTCAAAAAAATTCAAAATTCATAAACTTAAGAATGAAATTGAAGTACTATTTAATATGAGTAAAACAGTGCTAGTTCCACAATGATAGCTTATTTGGATGTGAAGTTATAGGCTCTAGAACATAGGCTGTTTTTTCATGTTTTTAATTCTAAAAAATGCACTATCTGGTAAAAAAACAATAATAAAAAAAATAATATATTATTTTTGTTGTCAATGACCTTTAAGAAGTCTATGATATAAATTTCATAAATTTCTGAACTATACCAGCACACACATAAGGTGATTTCACATGGAATGACCCTAATTTAAAAAAAAAGTTATAAGAATTATATCACTTGTATAATATTAATAAAACTATCATTATCCATGAATTTATTATGTATAGCGAGTATAGTACATAAAATTATGAAGTAAAAACACTAAACAATGTAAAATAATAAAAATGAGTAACAATCACTACAATATCCTACTGATAACTAGATAAACTAACTACACGTCCTCGTAATCTTACTTCAATAAGAAAATAAAACATAGTGTATAATTGAGACAAAAATTTGCCTAAATTAAGTCTAAACCACACTTTTAGTTGGATTTTGTATTACTTTTTTAATTTGTAATAGTGTGATATCATCACAATAATAAATGAAAAATTTATATCTTCTCAGATTTGCACAGAAGTTAAAAGAAAGTTCAATAATTCTTACCCTCGTCAATTCATTATAATTTCAGTTATATTTTGAAATTATAATTTATCATAAGTCATTTGTAATTAAAACAATTTTTATGACATGGAAGCCCTTCCGTTTTATATACTTTTTGGACGGACATTAAAATCTTCAAAATTCCTCTCTAAAAATATTTATAATTAACAATTAAATTTGATTTACTTTTTTTTTGTAACAGATGGGGTTTAATTGGGGGTACTTACCTCCTCCTTCTATATGAGTATATTGTTTGACATAAAGTTATAGTAGAAGTAGAAAATTATAACGACACGATAATCGTATATTTTTTACAAATTCATTTTTTGTTTAATTTTGGGGGCCATTTACTTATGATACGATCACATTTGCATGTGCCCATATCTCTGTCTCCCATAACATCGTTGTACCGTTTAATAGACATATATATATATATATATATATATATAATTAACA